TTGAGAGTCAAGGACATTAAAAGCTGAACCTCAAACCACCAGTGCTCAGAGCGAGTCAGTGCATATATTTTGCACAGCTTCTAATACAGGGACAGGTTAAAGTGAAAAAGAGAGTGTGAATAAGCAACTGTTCAGACTCTGAAACAGAATTCTGCAGTAACAGCAGCTCCCTGTAGAACCACAGAAAACACACATTAATAGAAACCCAGTTCATAGGAAAGGGCGTAGCAATTACTATCTGCATACACATTTTAAAATATGGACGTCTGCAGGTTATTTTACACTTCATTTGCATGAAACACTGTATGCCGGAGAGATCAAGCAATATATGAACGAACATCTTCTCAAATCTTTCTGCAAATACTTAAAAAGTCAAATGTGTTTACCTTATGACATCCCTAGCATTTGTGTTTAATATGCTCATTGGTATGCACGTAAAATACAGAAATGCTACTACACAGATACACTTTTGACAAGTGTCAGTTTACAGCCACAAGAAAGAAGATCAGAGCACATGAAGGACACAGCATAATTATGTCCTGCCCTTTTGAAAAACAGAATCACTGTCAACTTTGAAATCATTCTGCCTCTACCTGAATACTGAAGCCAATTCTGCCACCACGTTAGCTTGCATAATTCCAAGGATCAATAGATATTCCACATTTTCAATATATGGCCTTTGACAAGAACTGGCAAGCCAGTTCTTACATACAAATTAAAGAAATAATGTTGCTCATTCCAGTACAATAACAGTTACAGAACTATCTCATATATATTCATTTATAAGGGGATTATTTTGCTTACTGTTGCCTTACAACAATATTAACTCCTTTTATCATTACAGGCCTCATAGTTGTTACTGAGCAATTCTCCAGCTTCCTTTCTATGACATTTTACCTTGAGTCTTTGAAGTCTGAATAATTCTTACAAGATGCATATCCCATAATCACTGAGTGTCTCTAGCAAAACAATTCTTTTTTTTTTACTTCATTAATCTTAACTGCCTTCCTTTACAGTCACTATTATTCAAGAACGTCCATGTGGCAATTAACAATCTTCGTTAAAAAAAAATGATCTGTGTGTGGTCAATGATCACGATAGTGGACTGACAGCAAGCAACCAAGAGCCAAAACCCAGCTCGCCCAGTTACTGTTTTGCTCCATGAACACTACTATCACTTCTGTGCATATTTTCTTCCTCCATCCTGTGCAGACTTTAAACCTCAGGGCCAGAGATCATGCCCCATTTTGATACTTGATTCAAGTATTTCACCCCACAAATTCTCTCCTGACAGAAAAATTAAGACATAGGTCCCACGGGGAAAAACCCAAAATAACCCAAAATTCCTGCTAGTTATATCTTACCACAAATCCTAATGTCACAGCACAGGGAAGAGACAACCTTACAGTTGCCTTCCACTGAACCTTATCCACATCCATCTTCCTCCACAGCAACACATGGGCTTTGATGGAAGAGAAGGATGAGGCATGGGTTGTTTCCTCATGAACCTCGTGGTCTGAATTTACACTCCTGAAAAGCCATCTCAAAGTCTAGCACACATTTTGTAGGCAGCTTGAAGTATACACATTCAGGTCCTACACTTCTTCCAAGGCTCCAGGGACTTTTCTTTTTCCCCAGATACTGCAGAAAGTTGGAAACACACCAAAGACACTGCTTGGCTGTGAACGCCTCTGTGATACCTCCCAAACACAGAAGAATAGTATTTTTAAGGAAAAATACTGCACAAGACAGTATCAAATGAAGCAGTTTGATTCTTCTGAATCACAGCTGCTTGGAGCTAAAGTGAAAACAATGTGCGCTTACTCCAGTCTGGCCTTGGTTTGCTTCATTTTGTTCTCAGTTTTCCATGAGCACAAAATGGATCTCCATTGAAAGGAGCATTCTTCATAGGATATACCAAGGAATGGAGAAGGAAAATGGTGTTGGGGAAAAAGGGAAGCTCCCACTCTTTGTATTTATGAATGCTACTTCTTACAGCACCTTTTTGACAGAACAAATTACATACTATATTTAAAAAGCTAACTGCACTCAAAATACAGTCAAAAAGCCCCACCTGAAGACTCAGTGACTTTACAGGAGTAAGTAAACTATTTTACTAAATGATACTATGTAATTATAAACTTAATTAACACGAAATAAATTAGACATGAGTCTATAATGGATACCATGCTCAGTTGCTTATTGCTGTAACTGCCAGGGGAGGCTATTAGCAAGTAAGTGAATAAGACTGTTCTCTGACTTGAAACTGTGTCCCTGCCACTGGAGCTGCTGGGTTTCTATACATGTATGCTCCTCTCTGCGCATGTGGAACAAACTCCTGCCCTGTTATCCAACCAAAGAAAACATATTACCATCATATAACTTCAGAGGGAATGAACCAGGAAAGGAATGGTGCTATTGAGGTGCTGGAGTGCATCCAGCAAAGGGCAACGGAGCTTGTGAAGGGTCTGGAGGGTAAGTCTTATAAGGAGCATCTGAGGGAGCTGGGGTTCTTAACCTGGTGAAGAGGAGGCTGAGGGGAGACCTTATCGCTCTCTACATCTGAAAGGAGGGGTGAGGAAACATCCCATGAACATCCTCCTGAAAGGAGGTTGTAGCAAGGTGGGGGTCAGTCTCTTCTCCCAGGCAACTAGTGATAGGACAAGAGGGTGTAGTCTGAAAGTGCGCCAGGGGAAGTTCAGGCTAGAAATGAGGAAGCATTTCTTCACAGAAAGGGTCATTAGTCATTGGAATGGGCTGCCCAGGGAGGTGGTGGGGTCCTCATCCCTGGAGGTGTTTAAGAAAACACTGGATGTGACACTTAGTGTCATGGTCTAGCTGACATGGTGGTGTTATGGCAAAGGTTGGACCCGATGATCCCAGAGGTCTCTTCCAACCAAACCAATTCCGTGGTTCTGTGATTCTGTGTTCAGTTATTCCCATAGCATTGCCAAGATGTGTCTTCTGAATTTCCCCATTTCTACAGAAAGAATGGTCTTTTAGCCATATTAAGCTTAACAAAATGCTTTAAATGCTTTTGAAATAACAGATATTTCTTCTGAGAGAAGAGAGATTGATGCTTTACTTGGTGACAATTCCCCCTAAAGGCACTGTTTTAAGAAATCCAGAGTCCTCAGTCTTCATAATCAAATCCCCTTGCCTTTTCAATCAATAAATAGCCAAACCAATATGCCCGGCTCTTCTTTGGTCAGGCAAACAGAATGACTGCCTAGCCTTGGGGTCCAGAACCAAACAGGTGCTAGCCTGTAACAACTGCACGTCAGGAGTCCCAGGAACCCAGCAATGCTTTGGTAGCAATGCTGCTAGCCTTGGCCAAGATGGTACTCTCCACCTGTGCTACTGCCACTGCAAAAGGAATCACCAATAGAGCTTATGCTTGCCCTCCTTTCTTGAGATGGCATTCCCATCTCATCCCCACCTCCACAACTTCCTCCCAGAATATAAACTCAGACTGACTTGGATCAAGGCTGCTACAAACCAGAACTTGAATGACTCTACCCTACCAGAGTAACAGTGCGAATTCAGATGTGGAACAGACACACAACAAGATCCAAACAGTACTTAACAAGCCAAAATCTCTTTACTGTAAATGGTATGTGCAAGACCAGTTGTTTCCAGGCTCATCTACTAAGCTAAAGACTTCAAAGACAAAGATGCTTACGGCGTATTTGTGTCAGTAAATAAAAAAGCTAGAGCCCAGACTTGAGGATGGGTATATCTTATTTTTTATCCACAATTATTTAATCTACATTAAATTAAGGTACCATTTTGGCCTAAGATAAATAGCACTCCACAGACCATGTCCCAGTGCAGTTCAAAGGAGAGCATGAGTCAGGAATTACTTAAAATAAACAGTATGTATGAGGCCACCTTATTTGATGGATGAGAGAGAAGAGAGTTTTAAATGAATGCCTTTCCCTAAGATCCAGAGAATGTACCCTAGCCCCATTTGATTTGATGGCATACTGGTAGCCTCAAACACTGCTGTGCTTTGCCCCAGAACCTAGTGAAATTATACAGTACATGCAAATCACACACTGCGCCCACTCTCCAGCGACACCACTTAACAGATAATATAGAATTGAGTTATTTCTGATTACCTGAAGTACAATGGAATAAGTGATCAGTTACATGAAATGCATGCTAGTATTGCAACTGGTTAAATAATTTTCAAAATAATTATACCAATTTTGTTAATGTAGGACACAAAAGCCTGGTATTTGGCCAGTTCTAATTATTAGGCTTGGTGCCATCAATCAGTATTGATGGAACAGAAAGCAATTTTTGACATTCTGTCTGCAAAATGTATTAACAGGTACTTGAGAGCTCTTGTGATTTTACTTGTCTGGATTGGAAAATCAGATGATGATTGAAAACATGTTAGCAAACTTAAAAAGAAAAAAAAAAAAACAAAAAACCTAAAAAAACCAAAAAACAAAAACCAAAAAACCAAAAACCCACTCATCTAAAGAGAACAGTCTAAACATGTTATTTGGGACTTTTCCCTAGATATACAGCTGGGTTTGCTTACACCAAATGGATTCTTACCAATTGCTTCACAATGTATTTGTAATGAGCAAAACAAGACAGCAAATTACATTCTCACTCTGTTATTTAGTCCATCCCAATTTATCAAATATTTCAATAGAATAAAATCCCTTTCAAGCACTGTCCAAAGCCCTGACATTTACAGAAAAATAACGTCCCAGATTGATAAGGGAACCTAAGATGCATCATTAATTATTCACAATTTTCACTGCATATATATTTTTTCGACCAAAAATGTATGTATACATGCACACATACATATACATCATAGGACAGATACATCCCAGAAATATAACTGAAAACAAATGTAGTCTTTTATAATGACATCTGTTCTAAAAATAAGTAATTCTGTAAATTCACCAGGTATATTTAAAAACAATACAGTCTTTGCTCTTTATAGGTTAGGAGTCTGAATAGCTTTATCATCTCACCTTCATTGTCGCAGTCTTGCAATGAAAGCCATATTTGATCTACCAGACCAACTCCTTCTACTTCACCATGAACTGGAATGGAATGCATTACCATTAATGCAATTGTCAAGCATTTGGTTTGCAACTGCCAATTCTACTCTTTTTTTATATTTGTATTTTTTCACCAATTGCTTTATTTTCCACCCTACTCTGCAGGAGAGAAAATATCCATTGTGATACTTCTAGATTGTTCCCAGTTCACATTTTTCACAGTTAACAATCTATACCATGAGGAGGGCTGTCACTATTAACTGGTATTTTTTGGACTGGACTCTACTAGACACAACTTGTAGATGTGTTTCTGAGCCATACAAATATGCACGGCTTAAAAATACTTAGGAAAAAATTGTAATATGATGCTTTATGATAAGCAACGAGGAGATACTCTTCAATCATTGGCCAGATTCTTCTTTGTGTATATCGTTGGCCTGCAACGATGAACTTAATGTATAAATAGCCCCCACTGAAGTCAAGGGTCAGTATTTAGTCATATTGCATAGACCACTTTTTTGCTCTGGGTTTATGGTTTTTGTCTGGGTCTTTTGCTTTTGTTGGGATCATAGACAGAGAAAAACCCAACTCATTAGCAGCCAAGTCAGTCATTCACTGCATTAAAGAATCCTCAGAAGACCTAACCTCAAAATAGCTTGTTCAGCATGTGGCCCTACTCCTTACTCCCAATACGAAAATCAACACCTAATCAACTTGCATTGCCTAAAGCTTCTGCAAGTTGCTGTATGTTGTGCCAGAGACCATAGTGTTCCCTCATCCCTCACTGCATTCTGTCGGGCAGTAAGTATCAGTGTAGCAAAACAACAGGTTTGCACGTCTCCTGTTCTAGTCCAAGGTAGTTCAGCGTGAGGCATCACAATGAACATAAACAAAAGATTTGCAAATTCAAGCCTCTCTGTCCTGACTTTTCAGATACCAGTGCAAAGTACTCTTTGCAACACGGAAAAATGAACTCCACATGCAAAGGCAATGGATCTGTGGTCAGCAGACCTGGACATACATTATAAATTCCATGTAGTGACAAACACCTAAAAATAAAAAAACATAAAAAGCAAACCCCAGCCAAATAGCAGGGCTCAACTTAAATCATCTATTTAAATTATACTGCTTGAAAATTTGTGTAGCTGCACATTTATATACATACAAATTCCTTCCAATATATTTCACATGAGTCATGAAACAGCATTTTCCTTGGAAATCATATTAACATTAAGGTATCAGTCTCACACAAAAAAGCAATAGAAATAGATTTCCCATTACTATCATTTTTTGAACAGCATAAAATCAACTGATTTGAGTCATATTAAATATAATGTCAGTAGAATGAGCAAAGTGAACTGTGGACATTCTTTGACTGATTAGGGATTACAACTGACAGCAAATTTGGATCCATCATGTTCAGCAAGCATGATTAACTGTGTTCATAATATTCTACAATAAAGCTGACCTCCAGGAGCTCACTCCTGAAATTACTATGATAACTCCAAATTCTGTCATGACTTCAGACCTCTACCCTGTCCAGATTTTCCTAAAAAGCAGGAGAAGGGAGAGATGATGCCCTAAATTTTATTTATTTTTCAGCCAACATAAAAATTATACTGGACTGACTTTTTTAGCTCCTACAAATACATCCAGCTAATTCTAATCAAGTAAACAGATCTTAAATATCACTTTTAAACTATAAAATCTAAATTTCAAAAGGCAGACCTTGTTCATCAATACGATGTCTATGTGAAAACTGAAGCACGTAAGCAAGGGTAGGCAGCTCTGCTTGCCTCTTGACAAAGCATCAAACCTGTATTTTAGCAGCCTATTCAGAAAGAAAATGCTTGGCTGAGAGAATACTCTTAACAAGATTCTAAACAAAAGATATTAAGATATTCTCCTGTACTTGTGAGTGATTGCTTCTGATATTTCTCAAAACAGGAAAGCTATTTCACAGGGACAAAGGTTTCCACTCCCATTACAGGAACATTGTTTCCTTTCCGGCAATTAAAATACTGAATCTGGTACTCTCCTTAGGATTTACAGCACTACTTCAGGAAGTGAGGTTCTTTACTGAGTATGTAACAAGTTTACTTAGTCTACACTGAACTCATTTCCACATAAAGGGAAAAAATGTACCAAAAAAAGTACACAAAAAAAATTGGTATTTTTTTAAATCTGTCTTTCACTTGCAGTTCTGGAAAGCAAATTGCCAAAACACATTAAGAAGTATCATCGCCCATGCAGCGGAAACATCCTTTCCCTCACAAAGACAGAAGCTTAACTTTCTCAAACTCAACTCCATTTTACATACCTTGCAAAATCAAACATCTGAGATACGCTATACCATTGTCTCACTGCTTTTCTGTCCATAATGCAACCACAGGATTACTGGGGATAGGAGAGGAGGGGAAAGGCCCCTTTCATGACTGACACGAAGCCATTCACAAGCACAGCACCCCTGTACTTGGATCAGGGCAGAGCCCGCTCCTGTAATAGTATGGCTTTCTGTCTGAGTCTGACTATGCTAAGAGTTATTGCTGACAACCTTGATTAAACTAGTAATTAAATCCTCCAAAACACTACTATGGTTGAGCAGGAGTTGTGAGAAGGACAGAGACCAAGCAGCAGTTGTGACCTTGAAAAAAAAGTATTGATCGGATTTTGCTTTGTGAAAGGAAGGAGGGGAAACTGAAACCAATCATCCTGAATCATTAATGAGCTCCCAAAGCAGGGTCCTAACTCCAGTTTTTTACATATCCAAGTGGATCTTTCTTCAGACTTTCTCAAAAACAGCACATTTACAAACTATTCACAGAAAGAAATGGCAAATTCATTCAAGACAACATGAAATATGTTTAAGCAACAAGTCAAAGCTGTCACTTTTTGTGTACTTTAGACTATGTAATACATAACAACATGTATATTATATATATTATTAATATACGTATATATGTGTGTGTGTTTGTACATATTACGCTCACTACTGCGAGCAACTAAAAGATGCTATTGACTGTCTGTGCCACTACCTGTGCTTTCATTAGTACCCACTGATGCAGAATATGATTTTCCAGTCTTTCAATCCTTCCTAGGACTGAAAGGCCTTTGAGCATACTTTCTATCAGGAATATCCATTTGACTCCAATAAAGGAGAATGTTTTATTTTTTTAAAAAAAAGCTCTTCATAGAATGGAATGAAATAAAATTATCTGAGAAGTTATTATTTGTGTGTCAGGAAAAATCCAAATAACTGCTGTTTGGTAAAGTAATATCGAAGCATAAATGGGTATCAGAAAGCCAACCATTAGATGAGACATAGGAAGGTGTATGATAATTTTCTCCTTATTTATCTTGCATTTCACTGCATGCTCCTTCTTAGCGAGTTTTCCCTCCTCGATACATTCTTCAGTTTTCCTTCTAAAGTCTCTTTTCCTACAAATTGTCTCCAGTAGTTTTTCTTTAGGTAGGTCCAGCTACTGTGCTACTTACTGCAACACAAAGAAAGCCTCCTCCTTGGGTCTTGGGTCATCCAGTAGTCTTACTGCAAATCATTCTAATTATTAATGTACATCTACAGAGAAGTCATAATTTAGTTCATAGAACTACTTTTCTGATTCCAAAATGCCTTTATTGAACAAATCAACCATGTTAAAAGGTTGGAAAATTATCAAGCCAAGATTTTTTTAAAATGTGATCAAACCAAAAGAACTTGAAGAAAACCATCCAACAGCCAAATGATTGTTGACCATAGATATTTCCTCTCAGAGAGATGCCACTAAACTAAGGCATACCAACAAGGTGCAAATATGAAAAGATTTTTCTGTTTACCGTCCACTACAGGAAGTAATAAATGCAACAACTTCTGCCCCACTGCCACACAGCAGTACATTGGCAGAAGTCTACAGGCTGTTTCTGCACGAAGGAGTGTTCAGTGCTATCAAACACAGTGAGTTTGCATGTGTAGGAAGTTGGCTATTTTCAAAATACCCATGTGACTAGTTTCCCTTTAATTTCCTATTTAATTACCAATATTTCCACTGTCTGGAGATTAGAAATCTTCCTTAGAAATACCCTCTTTCTCAAGGACAATACGGTAACATTGACAGAGGCAAGAATTACTACTACTGGAATTAAATTCAGGCACCTTCTATAGTAATAGGATATAAAAAAACACTAGACTAACAGTGCTGCTTCTATACTTAACGATTACTGAATTAATGTCATAAAATAAAATGCGAACCATTATCTCATACAAACTGTATAAATGATTAAAAATTCTATACTGCAAAATCACACTCGAAAGGACATCATCACTTTTGCCCTAAACTCTGAAATATAACAGTTCTGCTTGCCACGGAAATCTACATTTTTGTATGCTAGTGAAAAAACATCCGAAAAAGATTAGAAGATCATAGGTAAGGAATAAGCAAGCTAGGTAATGATGAGGACATCTATTTAAGTAAGACAGAAGGAGATGAGCTGTGGATTACAGCGACATATTACACCTGAAGGACAATGTGCAAACCTACACTATTAACAAAGCCAGAAATCAATGTGTCTTCAGTGTTAGTCCAAAACTGCAATATGACCACACAGTGAGTTTAGCAATAATCTGGTGATGGACAGCTTTACATCATGAATTACATGGTGCTATACAGGAAGAGAAGAATCACTCATAATGTTATTGTTCAGTTTACATTTTCACTCTACGGTTTACATTTTCACTATACCATTGTCTGTTCCATAAGACGTGGGTAATGAACAATGAGGTGTTTCAGTGCCATGAATTGTACAGTATCTAAATGCCTTATTCAAGGGTCTGTAAGACCTATGAATTAATTCTCATAAAAACAGAAAAAAAATATTCCAAATCAGACGACCATTATTAAGTATCTCATTCCCTTTGATATCCAGTAGAAAACAGAATTTTCCACTGAGTGAGAATGGTGAGCTATGCAAGGTCTGATGACTGGCAGAGTGGGCCACTGAGGATTGCAGAACATGACAAAGAACCAAAACAACAAGAGACTGATCTC